CTGAATGTAAATTCCTTTCCTCTGAGCTAACAAAACAAGAATCTTTCTGCCTTTTGATTCCAGAAGTTGATTTTGCTTCCCTGCACTTATTTAATCAGATGCATGGAAATATGGTGGTTGCTCAGTAACTACTTCTGGAAAAAGAGCAGGTAGACACTTCTTGAGTCATTTTAGAATCCACATTTGTCCTTGAAGCTCCAGGCAGCTACAGTAGATTTGGGGATGTTATGGCTGGTTGTTTCTAAACAGTACTGAAATAGTTTGGTCCCAGTGACACATGCCTTGGTAATCTTGGGGCTTGGAACTGCAATGTGCTCTTTGTGGAGCTTCAGCTGTTTTAAGTACAGAATCCTCTTACAGTGTGATTGTCACAGGCTAAAAAAGTAACAATGATTGTATGAAATGAGGAAAAGCTAACTGAACCTTTTTTTTCCTTTCACCATATGAACCAGAAAGGCATAACTTCATTGCTTCCTACTCATTAAACCTCATTGTATATCCCAGACAGTTGATAGAAACAGAATTTCTCAATCATATAATTCTTACCAAATAATTTTTACCAAACAGACAGCAGGAGACTAAAAAAAAAAAAATCAAGGAAAAAAATGTTGCCATTCCAGGAATTATTGTTCTCAAGATTTCAGAGAAAGGAAAACTATGAAAAGAAATATGGAAGAACGGAATTAAAAAGAGAGCAAGGAGGCTGCTAGTGAGGGCTATAATCATCCCTCTGACCTCAGAATCTTTCCTCTCATTCTTTGCAGAGGTGGCACAACTTTGACTGATACAGCACTGAAGGCATTCTCTGCCATGTATTTGAATCATCTTGCATTTTGGCAATAAAAACTGGTTGTGAGGCCAAACCCAAATGAACCAAGCCTTAAATTAAGCCCTGGATGCAACTCATCTGTCGGGTATCTATTCTTTGGTTCCTTGACAAACAAACAAACAAACAATAACATGCAATTTTGTTTGGAATAGGCATTGGTAGGCATGAACACAGCAATAAAATTCAGTAATCCCATCTCTTTGTTACTATTTTTAAATGTTCCTATTCTATAAGAGTGAAAAGATAAATGTGGGCAGTGCCTGATGCAACAAGGCTGGGTGGGTGTGGACCAGGCCGGGTATGGACAATGACTGGTGTTGTATGAAAAGCAGAGGGTGGAACCAGACCAAAGTGATTCTGGAGCAGGATTTCAAGTACCTGCTGGGTGAAGGGGGGGCTTGAGTGCCATGAATAATAAGAGGAGGGGTGTGTACAACTGTGTGTTTGCATGCACAAAGTAAGCCAATGGCACTCCTGATGAAGCTAAGAAAACACAGAGCTTGATATGCATGAATACTTAAAGCATTTTGGTGCTGACTCAACTATTAGTCAATCTTCCTCAGAACAATTTCCTTTGAATGGCAGGTGTTCTTCAAAGTTGTAAACTGCAATCTTTCTTGGCTGAACTCTGAGATCTCTTTAACTGGAAATAACAAAACTTGAATCAGAGATCATCTGATTGCAAAAGGTGCATGGCTGGATTCACACACTGCATTGAGGTATAAATCATAATGTATAATCCATAATGGCTGGTTTCATACAATACACGACGGCACAATTTAAAAAAAAATCATACTGTGGGTAATTTCAAAGGATGTCCTTTTTTGTAGATCAGGGAACTTTGAGAGACTTTCTGGAGGCTGTGTTCCAAAAAACAGGATAACTGAATGGATGGGACCAGCACAAAAATTAATTATTGCATTTAAATGTAATTCATTAAATTGAATTAATTTACTTCAATGTAATTAATGTAGGTAATTAAATTGAATTAATTCTGATGGACAGCAGTACATTCAAAAAGGGTCTCAGAATCTACCGGTAGCTAGATCACAAGCTGAACATAATCCTAAAGGATGGTACAACTGCAAATAAAACAAACGCAGTGCTAGATGCATATGTCAATATTGCATCATCATTCTTCTCTATGCTGTACTGGTCAGACCACATCAAGAATATTCCAGGCACTACATTTTAGGAATTTATTGACAGACTAAAGAGTGTCAAGAGGACAGGAACCGAGATGATAAAAGGTCTGAAAGGAAGCACTTAAGAGGAACAGTTGAAGTCACTGAGTAAAAAGGAGACAGATGCTGTTTTCAAGTATCAGCCTTCAGTCTCCTATGGGAAAAGGGGCAGAATGTTTCTGAGTTTTTCAAGAAGACAGGATAAGAACAGCGGATTTAAATTACAGAGAAGTAAATTTCAGTTAGATATCAGGAAAAAAAATCTTAACAGTAATAGCAATTCAATAATGGAGCAGACTTCCGCAGGATAAGATAACCTTTATAGTCATTTTTTTACTGTGGGCACAATGGCACACATCAAAAATGAAATTTAGTTGCCCGCTCTCAAAGTGAAACACATACATGACACACACCTAAACATACTATATACAACATATGTATAGACCCATACCCCTACATATACATAACAAATAAATATTAAATACTATCCATCTTGAATATATAATGGAATGAGGAAGCTTGAGAGTTCACAAGGTTAATGCTCTACAGAATGAAACTATGGCTGAATCTGGATGTTCTGCTGTGGATAGGGCTTTTTTTCTCATAGAATGCCCAGAACGGAGTTCCGGCACCTTTTTTGGATGGAACCTTGTAGGGTAGGCAAGGCGGGTTGTATGATGTGTGTGGGTTCCGGCACCTTTTTTTAAAGAAAAAAAGCACTGGCTGCGGATACCATGAAGCCTCCTCCCAGAAGGTAACAAGGAAAACAGATTGTGAAGAGGATGTGTAGTGTCCCAGATAATCTTAAGGACCCTGCTCAAGTAACGCTTCTGTGCTATGTCCTGGATGGGAGGGAGGGAACTGCCAATGATCTTTTCGGCCATCCTCACCACTCTCTGCATCGCCTTCCTGTCTGAAGCAGTAGTAACAGTATTAGTAGTATTAGTAGTATTAGTAATAATAATAATAATAATAATAACAATAATACAAATACTTGAGTATCCTTCAAGCTGACAACATCAAGCACACTGAAGTCAAGAAAAAGATTAGAGGTGAATACATCAAGAGAGTGAAGAAGATCTTAAAGTCCAAACTCAATGGAGGAAATACCATAAAGGCAATCAACACCTGGGCAATTCCAGTCATTAGATACACAGTTGGAATAGTGGACTGGACTCAAGCAGAACTAAAAGCAATGGATAGGCAGACCAGAAAAATAATGACAATGAATCATGCCCTTCATCCACACAGTGACATTGATAGACTTTATCTACCAAGGCAAATAGGTGGGCGTGGAATGCTACAAGTACATCAGATGGTTGAAGAAGAAAAAAATGGCTTTGGAAGAATATCTGAAGGACAGTGATGAAGATGCACTGAAATTAGTATATCAGGAAGGCTTACTGACTACTGGAGAGACCAAACTGGCCTACAAGAAAGACCAAATGAAGAACAGAATAGAGGCATGGGAAGACAAAGCAATACATGGCCAATACATGAAAAAAATAGCTGGGAAAGCAGATAATAATAAAACCTGGCAATGGCTAAGAGCAGGAAAATTGAAGAAAGAGACCGAGGGACTAATTCTGGCTGCACAAGACCAAGCCTTAAGGCAAATGTATATAAAGTCAAAATTGAGAAGACAGCAACAGACAGTAAGTGCTGCCTATGCAAAGAAGCTGAAGAAACAGTGGACCACCTGGTAAGCTGCTGCAAGAAGATTGCACAGACTGACTACAAGCAGCGGCATGACAAAGTAGCAACAATGGTGCATTGGAAAATCTGCAAAAAATATCATTTGCCTGTAAGCAAAAACTGGTGGGATCATAAAATAGAGAAAGTCATAGAAAATGATAAAATTAAATTGCTCTGGGACTTCAGAATTCAAACAGACAAGCACCTGCAACATAACACCCCAGACTTAACAACTGTCGATAAGAAAGACAAAAAAGTCTGGATAGTGGATGTGGCAGTGCCTGGAGACAGCAGAATAGACGAGAAAGAACTGGAGAAGATAACAAAATACAAAGACCTACAAATAGAAATAGAAAGACTGTGGCAAAAGCAAGCAAGGGTAGTACCAATAGTCATAGGCTCCTTGGGTGCAATCCCAAAACAACTGAGCACCACTTGAACACCATTGGCATTGACAAATTTGCTATTAGTCAATTGCAAAAGGCGGCCTTATTAGGAACTGCTTCCATCCTGCGACGATACCTGTAATACCATCAAACATCCACATCTGCCTATCCAGGTCCTGGGTAAGGACTCGATAGGTAGACAAAATGCCAAATCCAGTCTGAACATCTGGCTGACTGTGCAATGATCCATAATAATAATAATAATAATAATAATAATAATAATAATAATAACAACAACAACAACAACAACAACAACAACAACAACAATAACAACAGCGGAACATGAACGCCATGTTCCTGAATGCCGCCATAGACATATAAATTCATCAGCTCCCACGTTCTGAAAAAAAAAACATACCGTATCTGATGTAAAATAAGGTTTCCTTCCCAATTCAGGTAAAAGTCGCGTTGTGTGCTTAGGTTTCACAAGTCTCGAAAACACTGGCCAAAGTTGTGTTGCAATCAGTTTTTATTTCGGACTTTCCACTTAAAAAGAGGATGGATTGTTCATCCAAGAGAATACAATACAATATATGTGTGTGTTTATGTTGACACCGAGGATTAGTGGGGAGGGTCTCCAAGATATGTTATTTTCAAAGATTTTTTGTTCTTCTTGAAAATCTGTTTCCCCAAAACTGCAGACCCAAATCACCTACGTCCAAACGCTCATGTACACGTCCCGGTTCTGCTCCCCGAGCTCCAGTTCCCGGCATTAGAAAGGGCTTAAAAGACTGTACAGAGAAGACCACATTTCCCAATAGGCAACGAGAAGAGAGAGAAAAAAAAATGCTCGCGTGTGGCGCAGAGGCCTCTGGATGTTGTAGTCCTCGTGGGAGGGTTTTCCCCGTAACCATGCTCCTCCTCCTCCTTCGCTCTCGTCCCCGAAGACGGAAGCCTGCCGGAAAGTGAAGAGGAGCGGAGTTGACGAGATGGGGGGTTCCAAAGTGAAGGTGGCGGTGCGGATCCGACCCATGAATAAGAGAGGTGAGTTGCGGGGCGATGAGCTGATCGGGACCCTTCCAGTAAGTGTGAATGGAGGAAGAGAGGAGACTTCCCCAAGCAGCGCCCAAAGAAAAGGACTCCCCCATTCCACACAGATACATTTGCGAAGGAATCAAATGTCGAGGAGCAGGAACCGAGAACGATCCTTTTTTAAGGGCTGTGTGGCTGGGCAGATCTTTCTCCCCTCGGGTTGGCAAAGGTGCCCCTCCTGCAGTGGATTAAAAGCAGACAGAACGAAGGAGGCTTCGGAATGCTTGCGGGAGAGACCCCCTTCCAGGACCACAGGGAAAAGGAAGGACAAATATCAACACCCCCCTCCCAGCTGAGTCAGTGAAAAGCATCTAAAAAGCAGAAAAGACTGGAGGGGTGTGTGGAGCAGAGACACCACTGCCCCGGTGCTGAAGCGAGTATTGAAGGAGTTAACAATGGGTAGAGGGAAGGGTGGCTTTCCCCAGAACTGAAGGGCTGTAGAAGGGGGAAGAAACCTCAGCCCGCATTCTGACTTGAGAAGGTCTGAGGATTCCTCTGTCAGAAAGTCCAGGAGAGAAAAGCCACTTCCCCCTCCACTGTATGGAAAAATATTTCCGCCACTGTATGGGAAAATATTTTGCCCTGGGGCAGGAGGCAGAGAGAAAAACAGGGGAGAAGAGACAGAAGGAGGAGCAGTGGCTGGAAAACTAGTTTGTGCCTCCCGTTGAGGTGAGGGACTCCCTTGCCAAGGTGAAAGTGTGGCCAGGAATCCTAAACGCAGAAGATAGGAAGCAGCACTACCAACCTATGTTAGGAATTGGAAGGTAGTTCTCTGCTTGATAGGCACTGCTGCCCAAACAGCAGCAGGGACAAGGTATTCTATGTCCACCTCCCCTACCCTGGACCAGGAGCGAGAACAGAATAATCTGTACTCATAAAATAGGAAGTCCTTCCTTCACCTGGGACAGGAAAGCAACTGAAGATGTGGGGCCCAAATTTTAAAAAGGAGTGAATAAGCAAACACTCTCTGAATGTGTGTGTAGATTAAAGTCAAATCTCTTCCTTCAAGGTTAAAAAGAACCAAGTAGATCTTGAGCAATTTGGAGGCCAGATGAGAATGAGAGATTAACTCCCTTTATACAATATGTGTCACCTGGTTATTAACTTTCCTGGGTTTGCACAAAACATAACACTACACATTAACCAGATGGCCACCAGACAAAACAAAAATCTACGGTTAAAAATAATTAACCTTCGCAAGTTATGAAAATGGCCTGCCAAGTTGTTAACTGACCTGGTTAAATTAGTTGTGTCAATATCCTCTCATCCTCTTTCCCTTTTTTGTAAACTTGCCTTTTCCCTTTTAGGGTGATTTTTGTACGTTTTTCCAGTTTTCCCTTTGGTATATCTTTTTCACAGTCTCTTGTTTTCACCTACTCACACTTATTTTTACTTTGTAGCCAGATATACAGTATTTGTGCAGCTTCACAAGGGCATTGCTTTTAATTCAGATTGGCAATATTAATCGTAATATTACCCTTAAGAAATCTGCATGCGTGATGATAGGGAAGCACCTAGTGAGGTGCTGTAGCTGCATTTTTTGCTATATGTTTCTTCACAGGTGTCAACTACCTGGATGAGGTAATACAAGCATGGGGATTAAGACAGGTTGTCTCCTAATATTTCAATTGAGGCATGTCCTATCATGGAAGATAGACATGAATAGTTCTTCTTTGGTAATGTTTGAAGGCAGGGAGGAAATTTTCTGGTGTTCTTAAGCTTGTTAAATTAGTTAGATGAGCAAATAAATGGCATTTTCATAATATGTCTTTAAAAAAAATAGATCATTTTATAGCACCTTTTATACATAATACCCTCTTTCCCCCCTACCCTCATGTATGGCCCAGATAATATATAATATCTCAACTTTTCTCCTCCCCCTCCTATGAGAATTAATATTTCAAAAAGCTAGTTGCTAAGCTTTGTGTTTTACAGGATGCTCAAATGCCAAGTAGTCTAAACTTTCTTGTCTGTTAGGTTGGAGAGGCAGAGACTGCACTGGGAAACCTGTCCTGCGCTATGGATTTTCATCCCTATGAAGCTGCTTAGGTCATCTTCTGCATCAAGCAGAAAATGATGTTGTTGCAAGAACAGTGAATACAGAAATTCTTAACTGCTGCAAAGTGTAATGAATACTAATTTACCCAATTCATTCACTACTCTAGGCTAAAATGAGGTTGGATTAGGGTTCATTTGAGAACCCAGCAGTTATACTAATAGGTTGTGTGAACCGCAATAGGATATTGTATGCTACATCCAAGCAAATAATACAGTTTGTTTCATTGGCATAACATGCGAAATGAACACAGTCATTATGTTTTATTCATCTGAGTTTAGAATTTACAGTGTTTCCTGGATCCTTCTTCATCGTGTTTCACTACACTTTTTTTTTCTAACAATAGCAACAAGCCTGATGGGAACAACACTTTTTAAATGTCTCCCCAATGCCATTTTTGTTACTATGAGGTTGTAATTATCTGATTATAGCAAGATGGTAAGTCTGAAACCTTCTTCAAGCCTAAAGAAATGCAGGTCTAGTTCTTATCAATAGATAATAGATAATATTTATCAATACCTTGCCTTTTTACATTTCTGCTTGAGGGCAACTGTCCTTTTGAATAGTTTGCATTTCACATGAGCTTACTGAATTATCACTCAAGTAATTATTAGATGAAACCCTAAACAAAACGGCTTTATCATTCTCTATGGGCCCCATCCCCAAGGCCATAATACCATTTAGAATTTCAGCTGCTGCAAATTTTCCCTGTTTGTAGCTTCTGTTCAAAAAGTAAAAAAAGATCACTTTTTAAGAGTTCAATGTGTTGATCCATTAAATCAGAACCATATCATTCACAATCCATTTTCTTTTGGAGATGGAGAGTTTTGTCGTTCTGGTTTGATCTAAGAATATTCTTTCCATCTAACCAGATGCTCAACCCTCCTCTTTGTTCCCAAGTGTAAAATTGTTAGTATTGAATTAGTGCCTGGCTAAAAATCTGCCAGCTAACATCTTGGGAAAGTGAAAAGAAGGAGGGCGGGGGGGGGGCAGGTCAGAGAATTTTTAGTGGCAGGAAGGGGCTGACTTGCTCCACCCCCCTCCATTACTCCATTATGTCTGTTTTAGCTACACTTGCATATTTCTTTATTAAATTTGTACTCTAAAATTCTACACTCTGATCTCCCAAACAGAAACTTCTCCAATCTTTCTAAGATAATTGTTGACATTTTTGCAGATATAAAGGCCATACTATTGCAGAAGGTCATGGACTGGTTGAATTTGTAAAATTTCTCTATATTTAAACTTGTGAAAGTAAAAGGGTAAATGGATATACATTTATTATTTATATACATTTATTATTAGCTATTTTTTAAAAAAGATAAACTGTTCAAACGGTTAATAACTATGCATGGTATCAAAACAGACATATTTTACATTTGGAATATATGTGTGTGTGCATAGTATTGAATGGAACTGGGAAATTTGTTTGACAGCTGAATTTTAAAAGTAGAAATTGAGACTTGGGGGGGAGGGGCTGGGTTGAGATTCCTGTATCAATTGTGCTTCTGTGTTGAGTGTGGCAAATATCAAAGCTCTCTCTCACTTTGGAGTAAAGATGTCTTATGCATGCCATTGTCTGCCCTAACAATAGCCTTATCTAGAGAAAAATGGTTCAGTTTCCTGGAGCCATATTTTGAAATCTCTCTATATTCATTTCACAAACCTATAAGAAGAATAGTCTAAAATCGTTATTTCTTAAAAACAATGTTAAATCATAGCTTTCCCATTTGAAAAATGGAACTATGCTTTAGTTTATCATAAATGAATCCTTTCCTCTGGTGTAATTTTAAGAAAACATTACCTCCCATGTTCAACTAGTAATGATATGGAATTACACATAATTCTCGACTTATGATCACAATTGGGAAACCTTGGATGCTGAGCAAAGCAGTCATTAAGTGAGATGTTCACATGACTACTTCGCTCAATCACCACAAACATGGCACTCCCAAGTGTGTTCCTTAAGTGATCTTCTGGGTCATTAAGTGGATGGAGTGAAAGGGCTGCCTGCTGGAAGAACATCTCGGCTCCATGTGTAGCTGAAATTTTCCCTCCCCCCCACATGCCCAACAGGCAGCCCTTTGAGAGCTGAGACTTCTCAGCTGAGAACTGAGAGCTGAGATTCCTTCCCAGAGTAATGGCCCCTTTGAGTGGAAGAGCAGAGAGTTAGAGAAAGGAAAAGGGAAGGATGTAGGAAGAGAGGGATTTTCGGCTCTGTATATGCTTGGATTTTGGCTGCCAAGGTTCAGGCAGGCACAGAGCTTAGGGTCCTGCAGAGAGCTCTGTGCAGGTGAGGAAGGAAGGATTTGGATGCTTGGAAATCCAGGCAGATAATGGAGCTTGGGGTCCTTCTCTTCTGCGTTTGTGTAGAACTCCACAGAGACAGGGACTGGGATTTGAGCTCAGTGCCTGCTTGAATATTGAAAGAGGAAGTCCAGGAGTCCTTGTCTCCCTGCCTCTGCTGAGAGCTCTGTGGAGGTGTGGAGAGAAGGATTTTAAGTTCCATGCCTGCTTGCATTTCAGTTGTTGAGATTCACGCAGGCAAAGATCAGCAGGGTGCTCTTTTTGCCAGCCCCCAGAGAAAAGAGGGAGTCCTTCATTGTCGAGTTCCCCACTGACATTCTGAGGAGGCAAGCAGAGAAGACTGCAAATGGTGATTATGTGATTGTGGGGCACCTGGTAATCATTTGTAAGTGTGAACAGAAGAAGAATCCATATCACAAGAACAGGGCCAAGAACTCATATCATAATTACATGACTGCCGTGCGCGCGTGCGTGTGTGTGTGTGTGTGTGTGTGTGTGTGTGTGTGAGAGAGAGAGAGAGAGAGAGAGAGAGAGATTGATTTTGTAATGGTTGGAAGACTTTTACAGGCCATAAAGCCCCTTTTCAAACACTAATTAAGTAACTGGTCTGAGGACTATCTGTATATCTGAACCTGAAAAATTGATTTTGATTTAGAAAAACAGGGCCATTTAAAACTATAGTTTTTGAACTTGGCTAATTTTCTGATTCTTAAACTTTAATACACTCCCTAATAAAGTGGCAAACATATTCCAATCCCCTTTACAATGCATGTTTTAAAAACATAGGAGATAAAAGTGACAATTTCAGTCAAGGCATTGCTTTTATCTCAAGCTACATTCACTGATATACTTTCATCAAAGACCGTCAGCCAGCTCCCTAATTATTTTGGACATCCCTACAACCATATCATCACTAACTATTTGATGTGCTGCTTAATGTGGGAGCTACCCCAACAACATTATGGAGGCAAGACAAATGCTTAGTTATACGGAACTTAGATTGTTAATTTTCAGGTTTTGGATAAAGGAACCATGCTTATGATAGGAGCAAATTAATTTGGGGTTGGTCTTTCACAAGATAGATTCTCTTCTGTTTCTGTTCTCTCCCTTAATTATACAATCTGTATTGGATTCCTCTTTGAACTCTTTACACAAATATCAACAACCCTTTCCTGCACAACTCATGTTCCTTGTGTGTATTTTGCTAATACTGCAAACTTTTTGAACTTCTATGGGCTGTACATCTTTGAAATAAGAACGTGACAAATGTGTGGATGTAACCTGGAATGTTTAATTACAGGAGACAAAACCTATTAGAGGAATTATCCATTTGACAAAATGGCACATTCAAGTTTGCTAGCAAAATACTGTAAGAGAATCCTATGGATTCTGTTCTCAGTTAACCTTTTCCAAACCAAGAAGATTTTGCACATAATGCTAATTGATTCTGAATGTGTCTTAAGTTGTAGGGCAGAACTAATAAAGTCTGGGGAAACTGTTACAGAAGTGAAGCATGTGGCCATATTGTTTCAGAACAGTGATAAAAGCATGTAATTGCCACATTCTTTTATGAAAGTCTCAATGCTCTCTTATGATACTGTAATGAATTAAATATGTCTGTTTTGAAAGGAAACACTTGAAATTTGCTCCCAATATGCCCCAAGTTAACAGCACAGTTAAAAAGTTTTTGTCCTTGTTTAACCCATATGTTTATTAGTGATCTAAAACACTAATGTAAAGAATTCAAAATTTAAGAACACATTCATAATATAGCTAGCCCTCAAATGACTGATGATTTTCATTTAAAGTGCACTTTAAAACTTACTACATTTTCTTAGCTGAAGGATAGATTTATGAGAAGTAAAGATGACTTGTTTGGATTTTATTTTACACTATTGCAAACAATTAGAGCTCAAAATAATATTTCTAAGTATATTCTTCTTCCACAAGTTTGTTGGAGCAGGGCTACCTTTTGGGTTTCTATTTTACCTAGCACTGGAAATCTGAATACAAGTATTGTGTGTTTTCTAGCTGCTGTACTCATACATAATAAATGAACTATTGTAGTCTGAAATTTTAATGGATTGTACAGGGATATCCTTTGTAAGGTGATTAGAAAAAAATGCTGATTGTAAACCCTGTTTTAAGCTTTTTATAAATTCCCCTTTCCCTCAACTTTTCTTTTGACTCTAAATTCAAATAAAATCAGCGTCACAAGCAGCAGATTACCTCACATAGTATTTAGAAGTAGGTCTATTTATTTTTTAATAGGAGACCCTCAAGGTATGCACTGATTTGTAGAGTTAGTCACTGAATCTATATAAAACATTTTCTGAATCCCTATCTTTTTTTCCCTTCCTTCCTTCCTTCCTTCCTTCCTTCCTTCCTTCCTTCCTTCCTTCCTTTTATAGCTTCATTCACCATCTGCAGAAGAATGCTTTTAGCTGGCATTTGTGGCAACACATTTCATAAAACTGAGGCTTCTCTGGATTTCTTTCTAATTCACGGTTGTTGAATCAATGCAAGTTTTACTTTTCAATCAGGGATGGTGTTAAAGGAAAGATATCTCAAGAATAGCATATGTTCACCGAGGAAATAGAGTAGAGATATGATTATCTTCCATACCTTGTTTCTCTAATTAGTAGTGTTACTTGGATCTGCCTTTAAGAAGTTTGTTTTTTTCCCCTTTGGAATGCCAACTGGTATCTATTTGAAGCTGTAGAATTTATTTCCAGAACCACTGGAGCTTTCTATCATAAGGATTTTAAAGTTTCTTGGAAAGTGATTGAAAAGAGTGTGAGATTTTATTTCAGAAGACTGATGATCCTGAGACATTTACTGTTAATTTGCTGTAATTGACAGCTGCAGAAGCCTATTTCATGTATATATCTATTACATTTGGGACAGCAGTTAAACTTAACTAGTGGTAGTTATATTCACCTGATAATGGATGCCAGCATGCTCAATAACATGCATGAGCTTTGTAATTTTTATACGGAGTCTTTTCAGCAAATAGTTCAATGTAGAAATTCTATAGTATTAGAAAATTTTAAAACAACTACTCCAATTACACAATGTTTTTTTGTTTTTGTAATGAAAACAACCCTTATCACTAGGATTTACCTTTGGAAATATCGTTCTTCTTCACTCAGTTTCTTAAATACATTAGTAACATTTCATCTCCTTTTTTATGATGAACACAGTAAATAGAATCATGCTTATACATTATGCTAAGCACTAGTATGATATGTCTAGTTTGGCTTAGTATAGTTAGATTTAGGTTCCTCAAGTCTGCAGATACTGATAAGATAAAATGTATGATTGTATGAATAGAAATGGAAAATGGGGATAGAGAAATAGAATCCTTCTTGGATTCTTTATCACTAGCTTATACCCTGATGTGGAACAATCAGAATAGGGGAGAGAAAATGGCTGCATCATTTTTTATTAGGTACACTTGTACCAGTCTTTCACAGTTGGTCTGTCTAATCAAGTATTATTTATCTGTTTTGGTCTGATTGCCTGTGGTAAATCTATGAGAATATTTGCTCTGTGTTTTCCTACATTATTTCATAGAATTTTCATGTAAGTCTTGTACTTTACACTAAGGAATTCTTTTTGTTCTGGTTGTAACAGTGACAAAACATATTGATACTAGAAAGGAAATGTCCTTCTCCCATTTACCTAACTTAAATAGTTGTGTGACAGCTTTTGTCTTCCTTTCTCTCGATTTCTGGACTTCGCAGTCCTTCAGAATGTCTGCAGATTCTATACAACCAGCTCTTTGGAGATGGAAGGAGCAACAGAAAGAAACCTGCAATAGGTTCCCCAAAATTGATGCCTTCTCTCCATCTGTTCCCATCATTTCCATCTATTGGGGCTCCAGCCATACAAGTAGAATGCAGACCGTTGTAATCCAGCAGATGTGGATGATGCCAGATTTGGGAAAGCTGCTGTAACTTATTTATACTTTAGAACAAGTATAAAGCTGAATATCCTGGTAGGCAATTACAGATAATCGGCACAAATTCATTAGCAAAGTAGAAATGATCAGGTTGTAATACTATAAAACAGGGGTGTCAAAACTGTTGGCTCGTGACATTGCAAGTTTGAAACCCCTTCTATAAAACTATGGTTCTAAGAATGGTATTTGACATGTTTATCCCCTCCTTTTCTTCCCATAATAGAAATAGATCTGCATACAAAATGTGTGATAGATGTGGAGACCAACAAAGTTATTCTTCATCCTGTGAACACTAACCTTTCAAAAGGAGATGCTAGGTAAGTTTATTTCCCTTTCCCTTTTGTTTTGTTTTTAAAGAAAAAGAAAGTATATTTTTAAGAATGAATCATTGTAATAAAGCGTGAGTAAGGAAACTGAAGAGTCTCTTTGGGGGGAAAATCTATTTCTCAATAAACTGACTTTGTTATTTAAGATGAGAGTCATCTTATTTGTATATATAGCTGAAAATATATTTCAGCAAGACATGGTCTTTCTGTGCGTTTATTTATTTCTAGCTATCCATTTAATCAACATCAATTTCCTACTGTGGAGTTAGTCAACAAGCATACATTACTACTCTTTTCAATGTGAGAAGGCTTGGCTCAAATATCTATGGAGATTCTCAGTCATCCAGCCTTGGTTGTCCCAAAGGAACTTTTTTCAAAAGGCAACTGGACTTTGAAAAACAATTGAAAATAATTTTTTAAAGATTAAATCAGATTAGTTCCTCCGAATGTCTATGGAGATTCTCAGTTATCCAGGTCATAGTTATCCCAAAGATGCTTTTCTATGAGGCAACTGGGCTTTCTTGTTTTTCTTTGAAGACATTTCACCGAATGGTGAATGGCCGAATGCAGGAGGTTGCAGAAGGTATTGGTTTATTTGGAAGGCAATGGATAATGTGTTGTTTTTATGGACTCTGACATAAAGATATGTTATGAGTACTGGAGAATAATTAGAAGAGTGTGTGATGAGTTTATTTAGTTCTATTTCCTTGGTTTAGTGCAAAGTAGCATAATGTCTGGCCCAGGTGAAATGCACCTGATTAGGTCTGTTTTAATTTCCTGATCATATACTGTGTCCTTTTAATTGATTGATTTGTTCATTAATTAATTCATTCATTCATTTCCTCATTAATGGGACCCTGGGTTAATAACTATTTCCAGTTTATAGCAAAACCGTATTTTACTGAATCCCTAACTGATTTCTGCAGTGGTTTCATTGCCATAATGCTTGGCAGGTTACAAGCATTTCATGTTTGTTCTGTGGACATAAAATATAGGGAAGAAAAGAAGAACGGGGAAAAAAGCAGGTTAGAGGTAGCAAAGAAGATACACTGAGAATTATGAAGTGATCTATACTCTGGATAAGGAATGGAGAAGAAAGTGATATATATTCTGCTTTAGCACATATTAATATATGTCATTCTAGATAGTAGCAAAATTCTACGTAAGCTGCCTTGGGCTACACCAGAAGATTGTAATCCAAAACATGTAGAAGGTTCTGCTTTGAAAAGAACCATTATATGACCATATAGGACAGTGATGGTGAACCTTTTCGAGACTGAGTGCCCAAAAATTGGCCCCGCCCCCACTCCACCCCTTGCCCCGTCCCCACTCTGCCCCCCCATCCCCTGCCCTGCCTACCCACAGGACCACTCACTGCCTCCAGGGCCCGCCACAGAACACCCAGGCAGCCCAGCAGCGCTATGGGGGCCACACCCTCTGCCTGCGCCCTGCAGCATCAACTGCATGATGAGGTGTGAGGGCAGAGTCTTGTCTATGCTGCCTGGCTGACATGTCCCTGGCTGCGTTGCTCCGTGTGGGCCACGCTCGAGGATCACTCTCCTTCAGGAGGGCTCCTGGAGAGGAGAGGGTCGCAGGGGAAGGCAAAGCTGGGGCAACGCATGTGTGCCCACAGAGAGGGCTCCGAGTGCTGCCTCTGGCACTCGTGCCATAGGTTCGCCACCACTGATATAGGACATAAAATTATTCTTACTCATTTTAAATGTCTCTTTGTTCATGTTCAGTGGGAACATATAAAGCAGAGATCTCTAATTTTGGGGGGCCAGTTGGTTCAGCCTCATGAATGGCTGCCATGCTGAACATGGCCAGTAACAAAATATCCATTTACATTAAGAGAAATTATGAAGTTGTTCCTCACCACATCAGCTCACATTTTTCCTGGGCAAACGGGCTTGCTTCCAAAGGAAGAATGCTCCCTAAAGTGTTTATGTGAGATGCTGAACCATATTAGGAAATGAATAAGACACACTAGGTTGTACTTTATTTTACAGCATGTTAATCTCCCATTTAAGTTTTTAAAATATATATGCATACATGTACACCCAAATACACACTGCACGCTATTCCATTTGGGACTAATCGATTTATGAAAAATGCAGAAAGAAAGTAAGAAATGATAAGCCAAAGAAATTGAAATCATAGATAATGGGAGGGGGGGGGATGCTACTGAATCTGTTTTACAGCAACCTATTTATTATACTTCTCCATTTCTTTCTGTGTTTACAAACCCCTGGAGAATACATCCGTAATCTCCCTCTGTTCTCTCTCTTAAGGATCTCATCAACTCTGTCCAAATTAACTTTCTTAGTTTTCCCCTTTCTCTCAATACGTTTACTCATCTTTCATATTTTTTTGTAATTTGGTCACTATTTTCACTGTATGATTAAGCTAACTGAATATATTTCATTCATATGGGTCACTCACTTTGTGTTCACATTCATTCAGCACCCATTCATGCTTGACTTAATTCTATCTCTTCTTTTCCCTTTTCCCTTTATACTTCTTAAATAAAACCATTCTCACTACATTCAGCTTACTATCATTTTTTTCTTCATTATACAATTTTTATTTAATATAACAAAATCAATAGAACATATGCTTTTACATGACTGTTTTCATTTCTTATGAGAGTATTTTTCATCCTTTTGTGGCAATCATAATTGTATATGCTTTTTTTCCTCATGTTTAGCCTTACCATTCACCTGAGCACAACATGTAACTATCACTAGCCACTGGCTTATACTTTCTGACATATATTTTACCCCTTTCATTCATAACTAAACCTACATTTCATTCATATTTAAACCTACACATTGATCGATTGATTGACTCCAGAAAGATTCCTAACAATTTATAAAACTAGAATAAGACCGTTAAAAACAGTTCAAATAAACAAATACCCATGTTATCCATAAAATACAACCATGTCCAGTTTGAAAAATCATATATACTTAACAAATCAAAAGTTTGGCTATGACCCTCTTTCCATTATAATTTAAAAAAAAAAATACTATCTGGATCTCTTACAGCAGTTCCATAAACTAGAACAGTGGTTCTCAACCTGTGGGTCAGGACCCCATTTGGGGTCGAACGACCATTTCATGGGGGTCGCCAAACAACGCAGTCCGCCATTTCCCGCCCCCCTTTTCCTTAGCTGTGCTACTCCCTTTTATTCTATTGGTTTTTGAAAGCCAATAGAATAGACTCTCTTGAATAGAGTCTAATTCTATTGGCTTTCAAAAGCCAATAGGAATTGTCCAGATTGTCTCTGCCCTGCTGAGCCCGCAAAAGTCCCATTCTGCAAACAGTGCTGCACCAGTTGAGTAGTCCTTGACTTACGACCGTTTGAATAGTCCTCGACTTATGACTGATTGGGGGTCGCGGCATTAAAAAGGTTGAGAACCACTGAACTAGAACATAAGGAGAAAAACATTTCTATAAGACAGCTCCACTCAATTTTGATCAGGGCTGTCTCTTACAAAAGAATACAAGGAAAACGGATATACTTCCTAGGTGCCTTTTCATAAAGCCAGCTTCCAATTTTAGTGTGGTAATGTCTGAGCTGTACACTAATGCTGTTTCAGCTTCTTCCTAAGTAGATGTTTTGAAAGCTGGAGACCATATGATATACATCTGTAGTGGCAGAAATAAAAACATACAATCAAACCTGTGTATATTATGTAGAACTGAAATTGTATGAAATTTGCAGAAATAAATATATCAGACTTTTTAAACTAAATCTGGATTTTAAGCCCATATGACTCTTGTCTTACCTTAGAATCAGATAAATATTTAGAATCATATAACACATGTAAAAGATGTTATATAAATATTTCATTTCTATGATTCTTGCAGCTGGTAAGAGTGCTATTTTTGTCATTATTTTTAATCCCTTCAAGTCAATACCTAGCAACTATCTGGACAAGTGCTGTCATTTTTTTGGCAAGATTTTGGAAATGAGTTACCATTGCCTGCTTTAAAAGACTGAGGGAAAGTGACTGGCTCAAGGTCACTCACTGGTTTCATATCTAAGGCAGGATTGGAACACAGTCTCCTGGTTTATAGCCTGGTGCTTTAACTACTACACCAAAGTGCTTTTCACTTTTGGGGGAAGTGTTACCTAAATTCAGTACTATGCCTTCTTGTGGATCAAGCAGAAGATTTTTATAAATAATTCTGAAGGCTAAGGAACATATCTTTCCCCATCTTTCTTTAATTGAAGCATGGGAAATTGATGTGGGATTTAAACTGGAATGATACGGGGAGGGGGAAAATGGTGGGGAAAGACAGGGTGGTTATACAGATGCAGGTTGCATGCGAAACAGTTAAAAGTGACTCATCATTGATTGGTTGGTTGGTTGATTGATTTATCAAACTTCTGAACTGCCCATCTCCCTCAAAGATTGGTACCCAGTAAGTACCCTAGAGGGGGATAGTAATTGTAATATGGTAAAAACCTCTTAGATGTCTTGAGACCTTGTAAGATAGCCTGAAACCTTTTAATGCTGGCAAATTTCTTCCTCAATTTATTGTGCTGGTGAAATTTCTTTGTAGCATAAAAGTAATGAAATGGGTATTAAAATGATCTGATATTATTTTGTCCTTGTTTTGAATCAAACTTGTGCAAAGCCTGTTTGTCCTTCATAGAATTTGGAAGAGCATTGCTGGCAGATGATGGTATTTATCCAATTAAGACACCTCTAACTTTGTATGTGAAGTTTCTGGGGGTCTGTGATGATGCTATTGGTGTCAATATGGAAGCAAAATAACCAGAATCTGAGAGTCATGAAACACAAGCAGAATTGAATCAAATTTAATCATGAAGACCATGTTTTTCACATCTGAATTCTTAGGAAGATCTTGTACTTCGGGCAGTAACATATGTCTATCCAAATGTCCAAGAAGCCCTTTTATATAGGGAAAATTTCAATCCAGCTGAAAAGTATTTCTACTCTGAACCTGCCAATGTGTTC